CAAAGAAGAAAATTATTGATTGAAATTTATCATAAACTTTTATTTTTCAAGATATCGATTATTGAAATGATAGCTTATGAATCATAAAACATAATTTGCATATGAAATTTATAAAGAAATTATAATAATATTCATTTTAGAATTTAATACTTTACAATATTACTCGGTATTTTACACATTTCATATTTGAAAATTATTTAATTATTAAACTATTACATATAAATAAATTTTTTCCTTATTTATTCCACTCTATTGCCAAAAATTATGATAATGATAAGTAATACAATATTATTTTAAAACAAAATAAACACTATTATTAGTACTGGGATATGTATTAAGGCAATATATTATTATTTAAATCTAATTCTGTTTTTGAAAATGAATGCATTTTAATCAATAAACTAATACACACTCTTATTTTAACATTTTACTTCACAAATGGATTGTATAATTCATTTATTCAGTCGCTATTATTGTATGTTGGATTTGGACAAGATTTAAGTCAACAATTGACTTATATCTATAACTTATATATGATAAGACAACAATGGACAAGATATTCTTAATTGACAGTAATGACATGTAATGTAAAAAAGATGAATAAGTCATTAGTTAAAATAAAAACAGATTGTATTAGCACCCTATCTACAAAATTAAAATTATAAACAGATTTGCAGTTGATTTTAGATTATAAAAATATTGAATCACATGATTTAACGATTATTTTTAATACTGATTACCATCATTCTATACAATTTTGTTTATATATTTATATATCAGATTTATATTTATATCTCATTTAAACTCATTTATAATAATTACAGCTATTTATTGATTTGTAATAAGTAAAAAATTATTATTAAATTTCAATTGTCCAGTATTTCAATAACATTATTTAATATTTTTTATACAGTTCAATTTAATGATAGTATTCAGAAAATTTTTAAAAGTTTGCTAATTTTGATTGTTGCTTAAAAAAATAGAAATTTTCTATTAATCAGGCATGAATTTTATTCATTTCAATATATTGTGCATTAGAATTTGTATAATTTCCTATCTCTCATTTTTTTTAAACTATATAAGTAATCTTTTTTTTTCTATTTAAAATGAAAGTACAATGTATGTGCACAATAGTTCTGTGTCACTTTCCCATATTAGACTGTCCTTGACAGTACTGTATAGTATTAATATAGAAGTCTTTATATTTCAATAAGCCTTCTACTGATGTTAGTAACAATCATTTCCTTTCTCCCAAAATTACACTGTAAATGTTAATCATTATTATGATGTTCCAAGTTTGTCTCAAAGAAGAGGCAAATATATAATAAATTCATTAAATAAAAATTTATAAAAATTTTATTTTTACATTTAACTAATATTATGAATATAATAATGTAAATTAATAATTAGTATTAATAATGTAACATCCAATTAAAATACAAAAAATATATTCTTATTCTCACTATACAAATACAGATGAAACTATATATTTACAGATGAAAATGGAAGTCCATATTTAGATATTGTTTAAAAATTTTGTTGCCATTAGTAATATCAAATAAAAAATAAAAATTAGTTGAATGGTTATAATTAATTCTTGACAAATATAATTTAATAAAAATAATTTTAAATCAAAATTATGTATTTTTGATGTACTTTGTGTTTTTATATAATAGAATAATGTATAAATATACTGTACATGTATAGCTGGACATAGTGGATGTAAACTATATATTGTTCGCCTGCTTTATTAATATTTTAAAATATTCAAAAAAATTTGAACAATTGAAAATTGTATACAATTTTATAACTAAAAACCTAACAGAACTGTTTTCAATATTGATTTTTTTTTTATATTGGTAAGATATTGATAGGAATTCAAATAGAAATTCTTATAAAAAAATGAAAAATATATTTTATTTAAAAATATTTTTGTCATTAATATACTTGTATCAAAATATTTTTAATATAGAATTTTTCAAAAATATTCTTAAAGAAATGTTATAACTATTTAAATTATAAGAAATATTATAACTATTTAAATAAAACGAATTATCTTAATGCATATGATAATCTAAACTACAAATAAAATCCTTGAATTAAAAAACGTTTTTCTGCTTATATTTATAACTAATTTTTTTAAATAAGAACTTTTCAATAAAGAGTTAGAATATAAATACTAAGTATTGATTCTTCATTAGTAAGTATAAATTGTAAATAATAGATATTAAAATAGGTCTAGCTTTTTTATAACATTTTTGATAAACTTACTAATATAATATATGTGACAATACTTATAATATCAACAATTTAAAAACTTATTACAAATACAAATCTAATACAAAGTTTTCTAATGTTTTAATAAATAATTCATATCCTCTCCTATTATCAACATTAGTCATAAGTAAACTAGATAACAATTAATAATATAATTAGAATAGTTCCTAATAATAACAATAATAATCTTAATCATCTAAGCTTCCATATTAATTTAACTAATAATATTTAAATTTATATATATATTAAAAACATTTTAATTATTACACCCGAAACTTAAATGTTTTCAATTCAATCATCATACCCAACAAAAGATTAAATAAAAATAAATTAAATATGGATATATTTATAGTTTCTAATATTTTACATGTAAAATAGTTACTTAATACACTATTATAATTTTTGTAGATCCTATAATCAAAATTACATATAGTATTAACCAGTTATAAAAATAATTTTGAAATTAATATTAATATTAATATATATATATATATATATATATATATATATATATATAATGCTTATTGAAACAATGTTTAAGTACACAATAAAACAATATAATAATAATATTTATTATATTGTTTGCATAATTAAACAATAATAGAATATATTTTTATTAACTCAAAATTATTGTAGGTATTAATATTTACAATAATTATAGTTGCGAACAAATTCAATTAGATTAAATAAAAAAAAATAATAATTCAAAATATATTTAAATATTTTTGATATTTTCAATTACTTAATTTTAATGTATGCATATTAGAAAAATGTTATTAGAATATGTTTATTAAATCTTTAATATTCAAGTAATTTTGAGAATTTATATTTTTGAAATAAATACAGGTTATTAATTTTAAGTAAATATATTCCAAATTACTGTTTAGATAGTATTTAACTTACTGATTTTATTTGTTCAGCTTCAACCTCACTTGAAATATGCATAGTCACGTTAAAATTAGAATGTTTAATTTTTATTAATCAAATATCACTTTTAATTTTTACATATAGATTTAATGTATTTAATTCAAATAACGTAAATAATACTACACGTTAATACGGTTTCCAATTATATAAAAATTAAGACGCGAACGTGCTTCCTTTCATTACATATCCAACAGTACGATTTTCATATAATTAGGAGACCGCTTAATACGATAAAAAAATGTATTATGGTACAGCGATTTAACATAAAAAACTTATTAAAAAATAATTAAATTCGATCACTAATTGGAACTACAAATTTGCTCGAAATTATTTTTCATTTGCTTTGTTGTAAAATATTACTTATAATTAAGAATTTTATTATAATTAAAAAAAACGTTTAAATTTAACATTTTAAATATTAATAATCTGTATTTACAAAAATACATAAAAACATACAAGAATCATTAAAGAGAACATACTACATTTAACTACTGTAGCAGTGACTTTTGAGTTTAAGCTAATTGGCTCTAAAGGCATTTAATATTTTAAAATATTAATTCAAATATTAAAAAATAAAATAATAAATATATAATGCATAAATTAAAAAATTAAATATTATTCATCATTAATCATAATTCCTTGGAAATTCAACTAATGTTAGAGATATGCAGATTTTTAATAAGCTAATAAGTAAAAATTCTAAAAAGTATATATAATTTTTTTCTAATTAGTTTGTGATATTTGAAGATTGGCTTTACTTTATTACTCTTTTATATTAGTTGTAATGACCATCCTCTTCATTACTATTATTATCTAAATTAGGTTTTGTAACTATTTAATCATATTTTCATTGAAAATATTTTGGTAAAGAAAAATATATATTAAATATAAATTTTTCGTTATTCAATTTATTATAGGTATATATAATAACTTTTTAATAACTTCATCAATTAATTGCAGATCTCAACAATATCACTGCATTCTTAAATAAATATATCAAATATAATACAATGATATACTGTATTATTATTAGTGATTGGAAGATAAAAGGAAATACGAATAGAAGTAATTATAAACCAAAGTGATTGAAATCATCAAATTTAACATAATTCAAACAATGTGCATTAAGACAATTACATATAAACAATTTAACTAAATTTAACTTTTAACTTCGGCTGTGTAATATAATTATTGGCACATATGCATTTAAATAATAATGCAATTAATTTAAAAAAAATTTTTTCTTTTCTTTTTTTTCATACTTATTGCTCTTTTCATCGTTTCATCTTGATTTCCGTCCATGAATATTAAATAGTTTACTTCTTTTTTATTTTTGAAGAATTCATTTCCTACTACTATTTCCTTCTTTATTTATAGAAAATATATCTACTTTTTACTTTCTTTTACCTTTTGTGTAGCATTAATTTTAATAAAATTATTTATTAGTAAACACAATCATTACAGTTTAATTAATTACTCATTTATTTGTAAAAAATACTTAAATTACTTAATGAAATAATTGATATTAGAACATAGAAAGAATTGTTTAAAATGATTAAAAATTTTATTCTACAAAATTACATATATTATCAATTTACAGTAATTTATAAAGAATTTTAAAAAGAGTAAGAATTATAATGTTTTAATAGTATAGAATAGTATCTTGCACAGAGATGTATATAACGGCTGAGATTGCCCGTTGAGATGCGTCAGAAAAACCATGCAATTCTTGTCGAGAGGAGCCTGTAACTTTAAGCCAACGTGGGATTGTTATGTTTGACAATGCTAGATCTGACCTAATGATCATCCATTGGGATGACAGTTGTGCAGGTAAGGCTTCGCCCCAGTGTAGCTTGTGTAGCCAGAGCTCCTGCATGAATATCTTTGCCTTGATTACAACTGGCGATACAAAACCTAGTGGATCAAATATTTTTGAAACCTCAGACAGAATGAGGCGCTTCGTGAACTTACTATCTTGCTTTGGTGTCTGTATGGTCGTGAATGAGGAGACCATTTTAGCCCAAGAATTTTTGTTGTGCAATCGTCGAATGAAACTGCTTGTGGTTGAATATGGTTGGCATTAACTGCAGTGGTGACATCCTTGTGAGTAGCATACCATTTTGCAAGTGGAAAACCGCCCACCATGCAGAGGTCTCGTAACTGGAGTGCGACCTTTACTAGCTGTCCAGGAGTGTCCGCACTTCCGAATATGTCGTCAACGTATCTTCCATGAATGATGGAAGGCACAGCTAGAGGGTACTTTGCTCCTTCGTCTTCCACTAATTTCAGTAGTGTTCTCACTGCTAGGAAGGGTACAGCTCGTGTTCCATAAGTAACAGTTATCAATTGATAAGAGACTTCTTCATTGTTTTCATTAACCCATAGAATTTTCTGTAGGTCCCAGTCATCTTCATGTACTTTAAATTGTCTATACATTTTCGTGATGTCGGTGGCAAACAGGTAGCGTTGTCTTCTGATCCAAATTAAGACGTCTGAAATGTCTGGATTTCGGTTAGGTCCAGTATGCATAATGTCATTGAGAGAAAGTCTTAATTTTAATAGACTTGCAGGAACCATTGAATACTACTCTTAATTTGGTGGTGGTGTTATCTAGTTTGAGGACACCGTGGTGTGGTAGGTAATACTGCGTTCGATGACTGGGAATTGTAGGAGCCAATTTCATGTGGCCAAGATCCTTGTATTCTATCATGAACTGGTGATATTGGGTTCGATATTCTTCTGATTTCATGGATTTGTTAAGTAGGCTTTGTAAGAACCGTCGTGCAGTATTTTATGTGGAATCAAGTTTGTCACTGGGAGATGTAAGCGTAGTTCGCATATGTATCTCCCAATTATATCTCTTGAATAGGTAGTCTTGAAATACTCCTCACAATGTTGTTCTTCTGGTGTACGTTTAATGTTATCGCCTGAAAGCACTTCTTTCAGAACCCAAAATTTTAGTAGGAGTTCGTTTATCTTTTCTTCTTCGTCATGCCAGGAAACATGAAATGCTGTTACTATTGAGGTTTGTTTGGTAGTTGCTGGTCCCAGAAGAAGCCATCCGAAAATGCATAACTGAGCCATTGGTACATGTGGCGAGTCAGTGATGACTTGAGGTTTAATTATTTGTCCATACGTGTCAGCTCCCAGAATGATGTCTATTGTGCGAGCTTTGCAATATTGAGGGTCGGCTAATGGTAGACCCTGTAGGTGTGACCAGTCTTGAGTCAGCAGATGGGATAATTGAGGTTAATGTTTTTAGAATGTGAGCCTGTATGTTGACAATGGAATCAGAATTGATAGAGTGGAGAGTTACTGTCACAACATGGTGGAGTCCCTTTTTGGAATGTGTAGATTTTTTACTAGTCCTTTGGCGATGAATGACAGCTCCGAGCCTGGGTCAATGAGAAGTCGAGCTTGCACTGTCATGTTGTTTGCTCGAATCTCTGCTATGGCTGTGGCTAATAAAGACAAGTTGGTATGATCTTGTTCGACGATTGCCTCCTCTTTTCAGATGGCTGATGACATTATAGTCTTATTGGCATTGGCTTCATTTTGAAATGCAGCATCCAATAGTGTATTGTGACGGTCTTGGCATTCTCTGCATTTTGGAGGTGCAGTACATGATGATACACACAGTTCAAACATCTGCCTCGCTTCTCTAAACGGGTTTTCTTTTCTGTTTCCGATAAGCTCATAAATTTTTGGCACTGATATATAGTGTGCCTTTAGTCGCAGTATGCGTACCATCGAATCTTATGATGCGATGTGGGATAGTTTGATAGAGGTTTTTTCGCACATACTTGATAACAGTTGAAGGGCTTCCTTGATGAATAAGACAGTCTCGTCTGTTGAGACCGCGTTGATAGAGATTTTCGTGGACATGCAGGAGTTGCTGTCACTCGTTCGCCTTGTTCAAGGGATCTCGGTTGGGATGCTTCGGTTGATAACATATCGGTAGGAATGCAGTCTTCACTGTCTTGCGCAGTAGGCCAGATCGTTTATAGATATGCATTTTCCTTATTGAAGGACTTGTGAATTTCTTCGGCAAGTGAAAAAGCATCTGACAGTTCTTCTGCTGTGATGTCAGGGTCTGGCACTACATACTTCTCAGCAAGACCCTGTAATATTTTTATACGTTCAATTTGAGAATTCATTTTTACCGTAAATTCAGATTTTTATCGAGTAGACGTTGAGCTTCAAAGGGAGGTGGCTCTCTTTGCCTTTGACGTTCCTGCTCTTTTGACTTCCATCCTGTATTTAATGTCTTTCTTTGCTGATTCGTGTAATGAAATTAGATATCCCTCTGGATGTATTGCTTTCTATTGGGCTGGCAGACTTAGTATGGCAATATGGGCCTTGTTTGTCTGCTCGATTCCTTTAATTTATTATCTGACGATGAGACAATCCGGCTCGAAGGACCAAATGTTCGATTTTAAAGGGTTAGTTTATGGCTCGAACTGCCAATTCAATAGTTTAGTGTATTAGTCTCTCGGCAGGATAATTTTAAAGGAAACAATAACAGACAAGGCTGAAAAATATTATATATATTTATTAAAACAAGGTTTATTATTGTAAGCAATTATAATAATATTGCACTGCTATGTAGAGATAAATAATTTTATTGAAGTGTCAACTGATGTGTTCTTGTATTCTTATGCTATAAAGGATTCTATGGATATAACTGTAGAGAAAAGATTCTATGCGAGCTGTAGAAGACCTAGTCATACACAAGTATCATTTATTATAAAACTGGAAAATGTCCTTACTGTTGATCAGTCGATATATTGAAGTCTGGCCTTGACTTACTGCGTCACTGAGTTGACTATTTAGAGAATGCACGACCACGTGCTCATGACCTGGTGATTATTTTAGAGAATGCACGACCACGTACTCATTACCTGGTGACTATTTCAGGACATGCACGACCACATGCTAATCACTTGGTGTTTATTTCAGAGAATTCACGACCAAGTGTCCATCACCTGTCGACTACGTCTGGGGATGCGAAATTGCCCAGGTTTCTTGTGCTAGATGTGACTAGTTTATTTATTAATGTAAAAATAGATACCTCATAAAGTGTTGACAAAGTCTGTTGATTGCTGTTTAATTAATGTTTCCCTTGATTACTATTCCATTGGCTTCACTGTAATCACTATCTAATCTGCCGATTTCTTATTCGTATGCACGCGTGTAATTTTAACTATGATCTAATCTGCTGATTTCTTATTCGTATGCACGTGCGTAGTTTTAACTATGATACCGATTATATGGCCACGCTTCGTCTTCGCAGTATACTATACACTGAGCGGCAGTTACGCTTGAATGAGCGCGAAGTGATATTACAAATGAGCGTCGCCTCATGGCGTGTTGCGTTTAAATGTGCATGCGGCGTCTGCAGCGCCGGCAATAGTGTCGATGCGCGTCCCTTCCAGAAAATTTCTTTTGGCGTGAGAAAACGAAGCTTTTAGAAGTTTCGTAGGCATCCCTTTTTTGTGAGGGCTGGCAGTAAATTATATTTCAGATCGTAAACTTGCTCGGACTTCCCGAGTTTTGTTTGTAAACATTTTGCTCGAGTACCCGTCTTGGTCCGCACGTGCGGGTCAGCCTAGGCGCACTTGTTTGCATATTAAATTAACTTAAATATAATTTTAAATCAAAGCTAGGTTCAGTTTTCATTCTCTATCGCTCTCTCTCTCTTTCTCTCTCTTTCCTTCTTTTTCTTTATGTCTATTTCTTTTTATGACGTTATAATTTATGCTCTAAGAACCTTGGAGTTCTGAGGTATTAAAAATGAAAGTTTAAATGAGCTTGGATAAATTGTATTAGTATATATGGTTTACTAAATTTATATAAAATAAATTTTTGACATTTAAAATTTTTTGTTTGTATTATGTCACGTCTTGTATTATTTTATTTTATAAATTTATTTATAAAAAAAAATCAAATTTACTCCATCACTAATCAGTATTTATAACTTTTCTAATATACATTATTTTTAGTAATAAGAAAGATGAGTATTTTTCATTATTTTTATGCAAAGTTATAATTAAATAAATGAGTATTTATAAATATAATAAAAATAGTATCTATATATATATTCCAAACATACTAAGGACATAGCTTCTCCCAAGATATTAAAGAAATATTTCAATACATATTTACTTTCCAGTTTTATTTTTTTTCAATGTATGAAACACTGAAATTATGCTTAAATTGTTTATTCATTTATTGTGGAGCAGTTGTGGAGATGATACACTTCAAAGAGTTTCATCCCTTGCTGATGTGGTGGCCTTAGGAGTCATAGCACCCTTTGTATCGATTGTAGCTTCCTTAAGGTTGTATTTATTCGCGAGTATTATAAAGAGGGAGGAGGTTGAAGCTCTCCAGTTTCAAATTTGATTGAGCCATATTTCGTGGTAGTCTATGAGGAAAAGAGGGGGGTCGTAAATCTCTGATGCTCTTTAGGATGGAGCCATGTGCTGTCTAGATGCACTGATGCAAGGTGTTACTGATTTTTTTTTTAAGTTACATGTGTGCAAAGTGCTTATGCGATGCACTACCTTCCACTGTATCCGGCGGACCTAATGTTAGAAGGTCCGTCTCGTTTCATTAAAATCTGCTATCCGGCTCGAAGGACCAAATTTTCGAAAATTTAGTTTGTGGCTTCAACTGACAAATTCAATAGTTCAGTTTATTAGTCTCTTGCCGTAGCGATGCATAGGAAAAAGACAGATATGTAACCTTGTTAAGACATCGTTTATTCAATGATTTGGTTTACAATGATATTGTTGTTTCTTAGGAATGGTAGCGATGTTATGAGGATCAGTAATGGATTTTGAATATTCTCTGAAGGGGATTCTATTTTGTCGTTGTAAAGATCAGCAATTACAGTCGACCATGCTCATCAGGTGAGCATGAAAATGTGGTATTGGTAGTTAGCAGTGGTTAGCAGGGAGAATCACCCATACTCATAATGGGAGAATGGTAATGCCTCTGTGATAGTTAGCTGGGAGAATCGACCATACTCATAAGAATATGGGAATTTTTGTGCTAGTTATTCACAATAAAGACAGATGATACCATGATCAGATACCATGCTTTGTATAGTCGACTATTTTCTAGAACGGCATTCAGGCCTTGACGGATTGTTATCTGTGTGCATTGGAGAAGTAAACGAGCGTTCCTTGCAATGACTGCGTTGAGAGAGCGTATGTTGCGTGAACTTTTCCTTGTAGACTCCGTGCAAAGCGTGGCTTGGGCGTAGATAACTGATTCGAACGAATAACTGAATAGTGGCACTTTATAACTACAGACACTATCTACTGAGTGACTGCTGAGTGAAAACTACGCGGAGCCTTGACGCGCACTTCCTATATAATTATCAGCGCGGCAACTTAATCTAGCTCGAAACAAACTTACCGCTATTCGAGAATTCGGCGAAAGCAACATAATCATTCTAGGGTAGGCAGTCTTCGGAAACAATCGGAAATCCAAGCTTTCGGCTATTCGAGAATTCGGTGAAAGCAACGTAATCATTCGAGGTTAGGTTAGCCTTCGAAAAAAATTGGAAACGATCGTGAATCTAAGCTTTCGGCTATTCGAGAATTCAATCGGAGTTGCTACGCGAAGGCTAAACTGTCTTGTAGAACATTCGAGAATTCTAAGAAAGTAAATATAAGCATTCGAGGGCTAAGCAGCCTTATAGAACGTTCGAGCATTCTAGCTTTTAGCTAATGGGGAAATCAATGTGAGAAATTGTAAACATTCAGAGAACCGATGACCTTGAATAAAATGCTTCAATTCCGAACAGTATAATTAATTATACAATAATAATAATTATTGCAATTGCATAATTCGTTTAATTTTTACATTAAAAATAATTTTATTTTTATCTTTCAAAGTTTTAATATGTATTCAAAAAATTACTTTTCTAAAAAAAGCAATTGTTTTTTCATTATATGTGGCTTATACAGAAATCCTTAAATTCACAAAGAAAAATTAAAGGCTTTTTTATTTTTATTTTACTGCGGAAGGGTGTGCTGAATAATGGATTGCGTATATGATAACTTAAGAAATTATGTTGTCAGCCTACTATGGGATATTGTTCTGCGAAAGAATACAGATTTTGTTTAAAATCTGTACTTAATGGATACTCTTAGTATTCTCTTGCGATATCATCTTCCTCTTATTACATGATGTATTCGTCACATAATTGTCGGAGTACTAATTGTAAAAATATATTTATATGTTGTAGACATTTTATTTTAAAAATAAACATTGTTAGAAATTAATATTTAAAAGTGAAATTTTAGTAAAAATACAAAATACACGATACAGAATAAATTTCATTTGATTAAATTATGCTATTGTTACATCTACCAAAAATAAAATATCAATAATTTATATGAAAAGTTATATCGATATCTGGTTTTAATTCAATACTTTTATTTGCTAATTAAATTTCGATGCAGTAAACAAAATGTATACCTATGTTTATCTGAATAGTAATTTAATTAAGTTAGTTTTAAGAAATTCAAAATTCATAATACTTATTTTCTTGTTTGAATGACTGGATTTTACTAATCATATAATAATTGTGGTAATGTGGAACCAATTATTTTAATTGTACATTAAACCGCAGATAGGATTTTTTTACTTTATTATTATTGATATGATTGGTTATTAATAATCATAATATATCTTTTTTATTTTAATCTTCAATATATTCAAATGGTTCTGGTGGATCTGATTCCTTTTCTTCATCAGGCTTTGGTCCAAATGCTAGGAATGAAAAAATATAATTTTTAATTTCAATGTATTTAAAAATTATACATAGATTTGAACATATTATAAAATTAAGAAATTGCTTTTAGTATAATGGTAAAGATTATATGTGCTATTCATCTCTCTAGAGCATATTTATTTTATAAATAATGAATAGATGTTTTCAGCAATTAATGAAGGTAGCAACTATTAAATATTTCTAAATATTTAAAAATTTATTGTTGTTGAATCCCAATTACTTATTCCTGTTTTTAATATTTCTAATGTTTATATATAGAAATAAAATTTAATTTCTTTATGTAATTATTTAAAGAATTTTTAGAGAATGAATATCTTATTTATTCAATTTATTCTCTAAATTGCTAATATGGGTTTACATTAACCTGTAAGTTTAAGTGTTTGCTATTAAAAAATATTTAACGTGTATATTAGAAATGCATGAAATCATTTTTTTATTTTTAAGTATTTAATATAATTAATGAACATTAATATGTAAATATTAGATTAACAATCTCAATTTTATTTATAGCTTTACACCAGCATTAAGTTTTTAAGCATTCTACAAAACAAATCTTATTTATTCATATTAATTTTATAAATTATTATCCTCAATTACACTTTTAAAATTCAATTGTTAATAATAAAAATAATTAAAGTGATTATATATTAGTAGTATTTCTTATTGTAATAGAATGTTGAATATTCTATATATTAACATTAACAATTATTATCAATCAGTATTAATTATTTACTCAAATAGTATATTAAATTTTTAAATTATTGAAAGGAAATGAAAATATATACTTCCTCATTATAAAACTTATTTTCAAAAAATAAAAAATAATATAAAATCATAATGAATATTAATTTTAAAATATTGCAAAAATATATGCGTACCAGCTACTGGTTCCACTAATTCTTCGTCTTTGTTTGTATGAACGTGTTTGACCATTACAATTCCACCAATTTGTACATCTTTTGCTGTTGTATACAAACTACCTTCAACTAACTGAATTACTTTTAGTTGATGCCGTAAAACACGTGCTGGATTTTGTAGAATCTCATAATTGGGTTCGGTATCTTTTTTTTCCTTTTCTTTCTCTCTCTCTCTATCTTTATCGCATTTGTCAATACTATCTTCCTTTCTTTTATCTTTAACATTTTTATTTTCTTTATCATCTTTTTCTTTATATTTTCTATCATCCTTAGCTTCAGGATTATCCTTGGTTTCCGTAATATTTATAGGTAGATCCTATAAATGTAAAATATTTAATCTAATATTTAAATAAACATTTCAAATAAGTATTGTAATGTTGAATATAGAATATTTAAGGAAATAAATATATTATATAATATAATAATAATAGGTAAACAGCACAAATATAATATGGTATCGGGTATATACGAACGTATAAAAGTTAATAAATAACATTTAATAATAATAACTAACATTTATAGATAAAGGTAGATGTTCTAAGTCCTATATAAATGTTATAGTTCTTGCTTATAAGTACTTTGTAGTTCACTGTCCTAGCTGTAACGCCATGCGATTGAAAAATCTCCCCCTAATACATGCATTATATGTTACGAAAACCGATATATGATTACTAAGACGTATTAGTAAGTAGATATTTTGAATTTCAATTTGTTTGACTCATTTTATGTTTTTGTAATATTTTCCATAGTCGGTATTAGTAACTAATAGTTAGTAATATGAAATCTTATAAGATCTATAAATGTATTTAATACTTTAATTATATATATAGTGAATAATTATTTCACTTTTATTTGTAATCATCACTTACTAAATATTTAAATTAAAAAAATAAAAATAAAAAATTAAGTCAATTCATGTTTTCGTTCAATTAATCACATTATTTTAACATACAGCATGGTGTATTATTTATTAACATTAATCTACGTTAAATAGATTCTTTAAAAAAATGTATTATAAGACTTATATATGATATACTTCATCTTAAATATTAATTGATAAACTTTATATAATTATTTATTTAAGTATTATTTATATTAATATTTCAATATCAGAATTTAGGTGGAGAAATACTTACGATATCCATTTTTTCGTGAGAATCACGAGCACGGCGTTCTGATTCACGTCTTCTAGCTCTTGCTGCAATACTAAGAACAGCTGTTGTAACTTTTTCTCGTTCTTCTCGTTTTTTCTCTTCAAGTGGGGGTGGATAAGCATATATGCTGGGCCTAGCATTTGATTTTAAATTAAGTTTCGGCATTTTCAGTTGAGCATTTAAAGCAATAAGACAAGTTGGTGTAAATGCTAATGCTAAACAATGCGCAAGTGGATACCAATACCAATATTGGGTAAACACGAGTGCTCCTACAACTGCTAACATGTTAGTATGACCAGTTCGTGACTGTAAAGAAACAGTTACATTCCGTCCTCCTGCAATTAAATAATTATAAATTAATTTAAAAAGTCATTTCATATATCATATGTATTTAATTTAATCTTATGAAATATATACACACACAAACCCAATTAAAATATTAATTTTTAATAAATTAACATATTTGATTTAATTTAAAAAAATTATTGCTATTGGTTCAATCTATGATTAAATACATAAAATATATTTAAATTAAATCTGTTTTATGATTATAAATAATATTAATGATCAATAACTAATTAAGAATACATTATTGCAATATAACTGATACCATATAAATTATAGTTCTTGTTATTGTAGGGGAAATGCGACTAAGTTTACGACATATAATTGGTGAAAATATAAATAATCGAAAACATCATTAAAAAAAACTGTTATCTAAGTTCAATAAAACATTCTGTAATAAATAGTTTTTAAGAATAAAAATTTAAACACAATTGTAAACATTAGTAATTACGAATAGGAATTGGATAATTTCTAAGATTTTTAGCTTCAAAGATAAGTAAAAGTTAATAAATAATTCAATTTAATATCATCACATTTAGTTATTATTTCAATAAAAAAAATTTTAAAGTCTCTGTCTTCTTTTATTTCATTAATTGCTGAGACAGAAAATCTATTGCCAAATTTTTCTTACAATTCTAAATATTGACATATAAATACGGAAATTAATTTTAAAAAGTATTTAAATATTAGATAATTGATTTTTAAGGCGTAGAAATTTAATAAACAATATTTTAATTTTTTAATCTAAATTTACATCTCTTTTTTAAATTATAAAAAACGTTGAATCTTTTTATTTATATGTTCTAATAAATCATACCTGCGTCTATAATACCCTGAGCCAAAATTGCACCAAATTTCGCCATATGGTCTTCATGTTTATCAATAATAACTTTAGCATAAAGTATTCGAAAGTCCTTTACACGAGAACAGGTAGCTTCTGTTTGTTGAATAAGAATCATGGATGATGCAATAAGTGCACCTTGACGTACAAAATTTACTGGATCATTTGTCATCGGATCAAGCAAACCTATTGCTTCTTTTAGACCTGTACCAGCACACGCAATACCTAATGCCATTGCTGCTCCATAACGAACATGTGGATTGTAACTTTCTGCTAATAGAGATACCACACTTGGACACTGTTCAGGATTTCTGTAAAATAAATAATAATATTCAACATTCAACAATTATTTTAGATTATTTAATATTTACTTTTTTTAAATAATATTTAAATTCAGTACAATATTTGTAAATTTTGTTAATGTTTATAAAGGTATTTAATAATCTATCGAACTTAAATTTCATATATAAAATAATTAATTAATAAAAGAGTCCCTATTAATAATAAAATATAAAATCGAAAACTATTATGATGTAAATTAATATATTAAAAAAATTTTTATTAAAAAAGATGTTACTTATTAGTATTGTATATTTGTATAATATATATGAAACGCTTTAAAAAAAAAATTATAATTGATAATATCGCTATAATAAAATCGAAAATGTATTTAATTTCTACGATCTATAAGGATCTTTATAACTTAACTTACATTTTGAAATGCACTTTTCATTTTTAGTATTTTTTGTAGGTATAATTCATAATAACCTAATACTTTAATATGCCAATTTAAATTTATAATTAAATATATACAAACTTATAAATATGGTAAAATACGTACCTAAAAAGCAAAAATCCTAGTCCTGTCACTGCTGCACGTCGAACATCATCATTTACATCAGATACCTTTGAAAAAATATCAAATATTAAGTAAAAGATTTATTATTAAGTAAATAAAATTTTATTGTAGAAAAAATCCATTTTTGTTGTCAATTGCTGAAAGTATTAATGTTTGTCAAAAAATATTAGATTAATAAATAAAAATTATATGCTGTAGTTTTAAAAAATTAATTTTAATCATGCAGTATATATTTTTTGTTTTTGTGGCGTAAACATAAAATACTTTTGCAATATCTACTTAGGGAAACATCAATTTTTTCTTGATGATTATATTTTTACTTATACTCTACTTTTATAGAAATTATTCTATAAATTGAAAAAATAAGTATATGTTTTTATACATTTATTATTTCTACTATAATTGACTAATAATTGATTTCACTTTTATATATTTAAAATTTTTTTTTAATACTAACTTTTGACTTTAGATAGATGATTTATTTTAAATAGAAAGCAAATTCTATAGAATACTTTATTTTAAAATAAAAGCAAATTGATAAAAGTATAAGATTAGTAGTCTGTAAATCAGTGTTCTTATTATACTTATTATCAATATAAATCAATAATAAATTGTATGTGAAGATTTTAATAATTAATTTAATTCGCTTAGAAATTTATTTATTATTATTATCATTTTTTATATCTCCTATTACAAATTGAAATCATAGAAATTAATTAATGTACTAGAACATGTTTAACTTATAAATCTCTAAACATCTGGATAAAGGTTAAATTTTAGTTGTTCATATACATCCTGCTTATGAGAACCCATAGTAGCTAAACATGTTTACCTGTCGTTAAGCATGTTAGCCAACACTTTACTAAATGAGGACAATTTTACCAATTTCCAAAACCCATTGCTTCGAATTTATGTTAATCGCTCAGATTTTCTATATATACCATACAGAATTTGTTGACTAGCTAAGAATATAATGTGGTAGCTTATATTTTTCAGATTTTTTAATAGTCGTTTTATAGATAATCACATTTAGTTGTTCCTTGAATATTTGATAAATAATAGAATTCAAACCTAATTGGTATTGGTTTGCAGTACAAAGGTTTGACTTAACCCAAAACATATATTAATGTGATTCTCGGGTTTAATACTGCCATACACGTTGGTTTTCGTTTATGTTAATACATGGGGAATATAATTTGCATACTTGTGTACAAATTATATTGGAAATAATACATGAGTATATTATAACTTTCATAAAGTTATTAAAGTTTAAGGGTTTGATTTGTCAGCTTATTTTATTAATTCATTTCAATATTATTATTGGTTTAAGCTTGCTAGACATTAAAGGAGGTATAAAATATGAATAGTTCAATCATTTTTTTAGTATAATATTATACATTAATAAATTTATGAAATTGTAGTAAAAGATCGATTTCTGAACCCTCTACTCAGACTATAAAAATGTCGTCACAACAAATACTTTTTAAGACAAGAAAAGTAATTTTAGTGTAAATAATTCCCAAAAACATGGATGCATTTTAACGCCAAACGTATAATTTTACGACTTTCTAGAAAATGACAGTTAAATCCAATAAAATGAGTGTTTCATGAAAAAACTTATTATTTCAGCCTTTGCTTATTGCTTTTGTAAAATTTAACAAAAATTATATATAAACGCTATTGAACTATAAAAGATCATTTATAAGCAGAATTTTCTTGGTGCATTTTTTTAATGGTATCGTTTTTTACTCTATGATTGATAAATCAATGTTATTTAAAATTTAAATGTTAATTAAAAAATTATAAGTAAACAATAATCTAATTGTCTGATATTACTGATACCAAAAAACATATCTACAGCTATGAATCTATAATTGTAATACCTTATATATACAAAGACCTTCATTCGTATAAAATATGATTTCTTAATCAATAAACAAAATTTAACTATTTCTGCATTCTCGGATATCCATCGTATTGATGAAGCTAGTTTCCAAGTTTCAATATTTTTGTTTTTTTCAATTTATTCGAAGAAATTATATTAAATAAAATATATTTTTCATATAAATAATTAAAAACCACATTTATATAAAAATTAATGAATAATAGATTTACTATAATTACAATATATGAATTAACATAATTCATGAAATTGTATGTTATTAGATACTTAATCGTAACATTTGATCTGTATTTTAGATTTGTCATTTATTTTTTATCTGTTAAATTATATATAATTTTATTAAATACTTACAGCAACATGAAGAAGTTTGCGAATTGCTTGATTATTGCCTGTACCACAATATGCCATAGCTAGAGTATACATTCCACTTCTTCGAAGTATTGGATCTTTATCAGCACTAAGAGAACTAATTAAGGGATCTGCTTCTTCAAGACGACCGTACATTGTAAAAGCAATTCCGACTGCCAGTCCACGTAAAATTTTTTCATGTTGCGTTTCTTGTGCGTACTAAATATTAAAATAATCCTTTTGCATTACATTTTTAATTAAATTTAATTTGTATTATATTATAGAATTTAGATAAAGAAAATTTGATCAAATATAACAAAGTTTTTCATATGAATGGTAATATATTAAAAATATTTATAGTTATGATTTTATAATTACTTAACTTACTATAATTTAAATTATTTATATAGCCAACTGAAATGATTCATCTATATTTAGTTATTATATTGCATAAACCATAAATTTCGAATTGATAATACATCTATTCATTATGATTCCATTAGAACAATATAGATATAGGAAACTAAAAATGTATTAATAAACAATAAATTAACCATTTTGGTCGGTTCATTATTAGATAGTTTATCCCTCATGTTACGCATGTTAAACGCGTAGAGTCGAACTCTTAATTATCTTCCAATATTTTCTTAATTATTTACTTAATTAATTACAATCGAAGTAATTTAATTTTATCTAGTTTATTATTACACATAATTTTGCACAAAGTATATGTACACATTATTTTTACAAATCGTTTAGAGTATAAAAAAATATTGTTTAAAACTGAAATCATTAATACTTTATATCTTGTAATTATTCTTATATTTGAAATACTTAAATAGTAGATTATATTAATAAAACCATTGAAATAAAAGAATAAGAAATCTATTAATCTTATAAGATATAAAATTGTATAATTTTTTTAACTTCATAACTATCAAAACAATAATGAAAAAAATATAATACGTTATTAGAATTTAATTCCAAAATTTATTAAAAAAAAATGTAATATAAATATGTCATCACTGTACCGCGACCATATCTTCAATAGCTTGGGTTAGTTTTGAACCTAACATAACCATGCCCATTGCAATACCAGCAGCTTCACCAGTTACAGCATCATCTTGATAAAGGTTAAATTTTAGTTGTTCATATACATCCTGCCTATGAGAACCCATAGCAGCTAATCCCAATCCAAGGCAACCGCCATGTCTAACCATCTATAATAAATTTAATTATTAGAAATGTATTATAAATTATTTTGTTTAAATTATAATAAATACTTCATTTTGAGCATCTTTTAGTTGTCCTAACAAATAATCAGTAATTGCTGCTCCATGATTAGCATGAATAAGTCCTAAAGCATATAATCCTCCACCTTCTGAATATCCTGCACCAGCACCTGTATCTCTGGGTAAATAAGATTGCATTAAAGGTAATGCTTCTTGTTCATGACCGCGATGAATAACTCCAAGAGACGCAGTAGCTGTTAATTTTGCCCAATTTGTTGCTCGCGCCAACCACTCTAAATTATCTCTAAAATCAAGTAATATATATATTTTAATATAATTATAGACACCGCGTTAAGTGAATATATTATTTTAAAATAATTTTCTTGTTTTTCCCTTATAATCGCCGCACACTTTTATTTTTGTTTCATATGCATATTTGTATGTATTAACATAAGCAAAATATATAGAAAACCATCTAAAATATCTTATTAAAATTAATATTTTATTAATTCAGACCTTGCAAATTTTTAATTTTAAAACCTTTAAATTTCACTGTAATACAAATTATAAAATACATGTAAAATAAACAAAGCCATTATATAATAAGTAAGATAAGTAAGAATTTACTATAAATAAATAATAAAAATATAATTGGAAGAAATCGAAACTTAAAACAAGTGTTTTACAAAAATCTAACTAATTACTTTCTGTATTGTTTACATACATTATCTTCTTTGCGATATTTAGAATTCCATGAAAATATACTTTATAGATACATATATTGGAATTAAATTTTACGATTATACTAAACGACTAATTTTGAGCATTTTAGATGCAAAAAATTATAGGTATATTGTGTTTCTTATAATTAAGATTGTATAAAACAAAGATGAATTTTATATTATTTATAAATTTATTAGCTGATAACTAATCCCATCAGAAAAAAATATAATTGAATTATTTAATTTATAATTATATATTTATTTAAAACCATTATAAATTAGAAACGAAAGTTTTTATAGAGATATTGATATGTTTCTGTTCCAAAATATAATTTTTATTTTGAAAAAAGTGATATAGTAAATATTCTAGAGTTTGACTACGTTGAAGAAAGTAAAAATTATTTTTTTTTTATTATTAATAATGCATAAAATTATAATGAAAGATCATTGACGAAATGTTAATAATAATATTTTTCATTTCTTTATAATAGCAATTATAATATTCAATATTGTAATTTAAAAAAATTGTTTTTTATATTTTTAAGAATAGTTTTGTTACATAAATATTTATATTTACCTTAGAAATTGATCACTTGTTGTACCTGAATGCATAAAAGCATTGGCAATGACAGTAGCAGTATGACAAATTGACACTCTTATTGCATCTTTAGTGTTTTTTAAAATGAGCATATCTGTATGATTACTACGAATAAGAAACTGTAAATGTAAATCGATAGAAATTTCACCGCCTAGAATTTTGGACAAAGCATTCACTCTTTCTTGTTGCTCGCGTTCTTCAGTAGTCTGAAAGAAAATTGTTTTGTTTTTTTAAAGGAAAACATGGAATAATTAATTTTTGAACAAGAATTTATTAACATACACAAAGATATCATAATCATTATCAGTTTAATAAATTAATATTTTCTCATTAATATATGTAAAACAAAATTTATAATACTTTGAATATGCATATTTGAATTAGTATAAATTGCAATCAAATTTATTATAATAAAATAGATCCTATTAAAACTTAGATCTTTTATAACACTTATGAATACATATTACAAAGTTTTGTTTAAAGTAATATACATTTATATTTAAACATATAATACTTCATTTTATGCAATCAATACTACATTATTTTATTATATTATGGATTAAAGTTATCTATGATAATTCCTCTTTTAAACAGTTAATATATAATACTTATTTATTATAAATATAATGTTTAATTTAATCATTATATTGTTATATCATTATTGTTATTATATGTTCATGTATAATTTAACAAATTTATATTACATAAATTATGCTTTACTACTACTAAAAATAGAAAAAAATATTACCAAACAAAACGTTTCAACAATGATCCGCAATAGTTGATAAAACCCCTACACAATTAGATATCACTACAGAATCAGATATTCATAATAAATAAAACAAAGCTAAAAAAATAATAATTCATAATCTACCAGTTCAGTATCAATCTTAATAACTATAATTTTATAACATGTTTTGTCATAATAAGTGAAAAATAGAGAAAAATTTTTTAATCTTAATAAAAGAGAAATAATTGCAATGATTTTAAAATAAATTATTTTCTTATAAAAGGGGGTAAAAACTGAAGAAGTAAAAATATACTACATGAATAATTAAGAAGGGATAAGAATGGTAGGTACTTTTTATTATAAAACAATATTATTTTATGATATAAAGTATGATATTAAATATATTAAATAATATATTTATATAATAACATATTTTTATTACATTAAAATTAAAAACAACCAAAGCATCATTATTAATTATTGAAATAAACTACGTTTTCAATAAAGAATCATTCTCTTTTGTTATTACACAGAAGAATAAAATGTAATAAGAAATCTAATTTGTGATACAGTATCTTTTTCCAACTGATCTTCATGATTTCTATCACATTTTATTTCTATGAAATTTTGAAATAATGAGTCATTCATGACTGTCTCTGTCAATTTGACTGTTCTTAAATGACATCATAAGCAGTATATATTTCAAATTGACTGCTATAAATTAAAGATAATTCAAAAGCCAAAACATTAGTATCGTTAATTTTTCTACAATTACATACAATTTTTATATACAAGATAATTATTTTATGTTACTGATAAAATTTATTTTTAAGTAAATAAATATAAACTTTTCAATATTTAATAACTTCAAAGAATAGTTGATCACATAGTTTATCAATTTCTATTATTATAAATGATATTATTTATAATATTAATATTAATATATTATAAAATAAATATAACAATTAAAAAATATTAAAATTGATTTTTTAAAAACTTACCAAATTATTAATATTTTTTTGTTCTACTTCCTCCGAGCTTTTTCCAGAATCTGTTACTTCTATCATTATAGGTTCAACATTTTCCTGATAAGAAACTGAAGTAGATGTATCTGATTTAACGATTGCTTTCACTATAAGAGCTCCTGGCACAGGAGCTGTAGCTTTTAGAGCTTGTAGCACACGCCCAAGAAATTGTTGTGTGGCAGATTCATAAAGATCAAATGCAATTTGATAAGCCATTAATGCACAATTTTCAGATCCTTTACTAAGTCTGTCTAAAAGTTCTGCAACTGCCAACGCATCATCCAAAAATATCAAACACTGACACATGCTAACATAATCTGGAGTATTTAAATTTTTATATAAACCAACCAAGCAACGAAGTACAGCATTTCGGAAACCACGATTTTGAATAAGACTCATTACCACTTGAAATGCATAACATAACATCCCACTTACATCATCCTACAAATCATAAAAAAATAAAACTATATCTATTACATATATATTGAATATATAATATATATAATACATATTACATATATACTATAAATTAATGAAAAAACTAAATAACACTATGTATATAGATAAATTTAACTTATGAAAATAATTTGATTTAAAATAAGCATTGAATTTTAATACACAATGTTTACAATGTTTCCAGAAGCTAGGTTTCATATTTAAAAAATATTTTAATTATACTTTGATTATTATTATTATTATTATTATTATTATTATTATTACTAATTATTACTACTTATTATTATTAAAAAATGAGGAAATTAATAAAAGTCATAATTAATATAAAAATATTTGAAAAGTGAATGAATTGTTCTGGGTTTAAATCTTTATAAATTTAGTCTCATTTCATATTTAAACAATCATCATTTTTTAAACAAGAGCTAATTAACACTTAAAATAATTCCTTTACTTTTTAATAAACTAAAAAAAATAAGAAATTAAATAAATTATTATTTAAATTTTACCGATTGCATAATGGCAGCGTCAAAAATATCCATTCGTCTTGTTTCAAGTGATAGTCCTAAAGCCTGACGATACTGATTATCATCTAAACATCTCTGAAACATTCTATTTACTATACCCTCTAATCTAGGATCAATTCCTTTATAATCAGTACATAATTTATTTTCAGCTTCAAGCACTCGTTGTTGTGTGTAAAAATCAATGCATTTAGCTGAAATAGTATAATTTAAATAATTTAAAGTAGAAAAAAACTTTGTATTTCTATTAAAAAAACTGACCGATAATAGTATCCACATATTCATTTCGAGCATTAACATCGAATAATTCACCTGCTCCTAATGCATAGGTTAAAGAGTCTTCAAAACTTCCAAGATGATAATATACTTTACTTGCTACTAAAGCTGCAAGTTCATGATGGTTAAAATTTCTATCCTCGTGAAGTATCTCACTAAATGTAAATTATTAAATAAAATGTTATATTTTTTGTTCCAAACCATTTATGTGAATATGAAGATGTAAGTACCAATCTATCAATTTATAGACACAATATATATTATATATATACACACTTACATATGTATACATTTATATAATTTGTTATTCTTACTTATTACATCAAAAACAATAAAATTATATTTATTAAACAACATATTATATATATAAACAATAAATGTAATAATAGATATTATTTATAATATAGTAAATAATTTGTAAATATTTAGTAGTTTTGCAAAAATTATCTTTCCATATGCTGTTAATTCATTATGTTTATGATATATTTTTCATTTACACAATTCTTATTAAATATTATAAATAAATATAATGTGTTAGAATAAAAATTGAATAATATAAACTTAAATATTTAAACATATACTTTACAGTTATATACTTTACAGTTATAACTTAATAAATACAATTTTTATCTCATTTGTCACCAAGTAAATAAAATACGAGCATTTCTAACATACTAAATTGTCGATTATTACACAGTAGTCATGAAAGATATATTTTTTGTAAAAAAAAAGTACTCTTCTTATAATTGTAATTAATAAGACATTGATAAAGTTCAAAGTTTCAAAAATTGAACCTGTTATATCATTTTTGTATTTAAAATAATAAAGTTTATTGGACACATGGTATACGATATATTTGAATAACCTTTTCTTTCATATCATTTTTTTTTAATTTTTCTACTTTACATACTGCTTATTTATATGTTCAAAATAATTATTATAAATAAGCATAATAACATATAAACAGATAGCGTTGGAAATCTTATAGGTTAGACACAAAAAACCAAGAGAAAAACCTGACTAGTAAAAGATTCAAATAGATTGTATCGTCAACAATCGACTATTGGAGAAAAGAACAATTCGGTTGCAACAATAGAAAAATAAAAAATGCCTTTTACAAATCAATAGCACGAAACCAATATTATTAAAAATAGCATTAAGTTTAAATAGAGCTTATAAGATTTAAAGGGATAACGAAATAATAGATTTGTAGATATTCATGGAACATGTAAGCATCGCTGAAGATCACAAAAAATTTCTTTTTAGTAAATATATCAAATAATTCAGGTATCTACTATTAAGTTGTTTAATTTGCATTTAACTTAATAAAAATTTATAATAGAACATTTAAAAAGAAAAGAAAAATAAAGAGAAAAAAAGAAAAAGAAAAGAAAAGAAAAATCTTTTTAAAAAGTTTCTTTCAAGCATCATTCTAAATTATAAACGGATTTGATTAAGCGCCAATATAACATGTGTTCGTATCTTCTGCAGTACATTAGGAATACGTAAATTATAAAAATGTAAGATATTAAAAATAAAAAATAGGTAGATATCATTAACTATAAAGATAAAGATTTTCTTGATTTAAAATATGATTGCTGCAGAAAATAAAAATAAATACATTTATTATTTAAAAATAGAATAAAATTATTCATTTTTATTAAATTCTTCATTTTATGTTAAAATTTCCAATAATATTTATTTCTTATATTTTGAAGTAAATATTTTCTAAATTACAGGAATGATAATTTTAATATGAAATATTTAGCATTTATATATTTATATATTTATATATTTTTTATTTTAATATACTCTTAATATTGAATAAAATATTTAATTTAAAAATTTTTATAAATATTTATATTATCTTGCATTATCAAATATATTTAACAGATTTTGAATTACAAATAAAAATATTAATAAAAATACTAGCATTTATAATTAGAATTAAAATTTTGTAACAAGATTGTATTTTATTATTTCATATATGTATTATTTGGTTCTAATTTATGAAACAAAATTAATGCAAAATATAGATTATGAAATAATGTTATAGAAACTTATAGAATAAGAAATATTTATTTTTTATAATTCCAAATATATTACTTCTCAAATAATTAGTTTTATTTCTTACATATTTCTTATGTATATTAAATATTACATGCATTGAAAAGTCATTAGTCAAATTGAAAATGTTTATAATTGAAATAAAAAAATAAGAATATAAAGTTTAACGATTCTATAAGTTATTAATAATATTTATCATATATTTTAAGTTCAGGTATATTATTCTTCAACATTAAAAAATTTTTTTTAAAGGATTTAATACTTTCAAATTCATTAAAATTGTAAATAACAACTTACTAATAATTATTTTAACAATGTTCCTATTTATTCTAATATTTGATAAATTAAAAAATGTATATAAACAACAACAGACAATTGTAGACTTATAAATTATTTCTTTAATATTTCATAAACAATAATAATATTAGCCACAAATTTTATAAGATCACAAATAAGTTTATTTTAATTACTCTAACTTGTTATAAAAAATTAGTATTTCAAGTACAAATTAATAATCAATTATTAATGGCATAATATACCATTTTCTCATTTTCTATTTCGTATATAAAAACATGAATTATATAAAATATGAAAAAATATAAATGTTGTTTAATTACATTTTTTCAATTGCTTCCGATATTTCTGGCCAAAATTCATCAACAATCATATCCAACTTCTTTAAGGCGAAAACTTTTAATTCAGGTATTGGTTCTTCGAGTAAGGAAATTATGCCAGCTAAAACAATTATGTTTATTTATTATTTCACTCTACTATACACTTATACAATCTAGTAATAAAATATTAAAGAATTTAAAGTAGGTTATATTTGACAGAATGAACAATTTTATAGGTAGTTTAAAAATAACTGTATATCTTATAATATTCAATCTTTTAAATATCTTATAAATTTATTATTTATACTGACCTGCTGAAGTAATATTCATTTTGAAATTATTAATAAAATCTATCTTTATTGTTAATAAATTGTATATAAAGAAATAATCCCCCAAACACAATATCTAAAATAGACTTAAACATGAAAATGACAAAACTATATTTTTAGAATAAATCAGTATCAATTCTAGTTCTAAAAAATGTAGATATTTTGAAAATAAATTTTCTAGAGTAAAAATCGGAAATACGGATAGTACTTTCAGGCATGCGTAGTTGAAGTTTAATTTATTAACTCTCAATGGCAGTTCGGTGTAAAACACAAATTTACACATATGCATACACGCATGCACATTACATACATTCGTAAATGCTGTATATTATGATAAGTATATATTGATATATATGACAAAGTCAATGATTACATATTAATTTAAAGAAATAAAAATAAATAGAAAAATATAAGGTATATATGTTTATTTATAAACATAAATTATGCTTCATCAATTAATAAATTTTCCAATAAATTCATAATTAATTCTGAATTTAACACAAACTAAATCAATTTTATCATGCTGTTACAATTATTTACCATATCACATAAACTTTTTAATAAACGAAATATATGTATATAAATATATATCCTTATATGTAACACTCAATAATAAATCATATTAAACATATGAAAGCATCGTTGGCATGAAACTAAGTGACGTAAGTAAACATAACTTTGATTTCTATGATGAATTTCCCATAGTCCCAAAACCCTTATCCAAATGTTAAAAATTAAAAATGAATGAACGTTTAAAATATGAATTTAAATATTAATAATACTAAAGGTCTAGATATTAAATGTTTAAGAAAAATTCATAACTATTACTGCATCACAACCGTAATAAGGTAACTATATTTTGTTGTATATGTCGGATTATTTGTCTATATACCTTAGAACTTTTTTCTACAGTATCATATTGTATCTCATTCTTGGATATTATGTGTGCGTACATCTAGCTGTTTTTAATGTCTTATTTCCAAACAGAAAATATAACTTTTAAAAACAGGATATACTTAGATGTGTAAGGAAATTTATGAGCTAACAACCCGTGATAAATATTTCGAGTAAACAAAAACGTTGTTAAATATTACATAAGTTTGCATCAATTTAAACCATCAATCAATTTTCTATATAATTTTAAAAATTACTTCAATTTTTTAAATTATTTAAATTTTTATTTTCATTACATTTAATTAAATTGGTTGAAATAACCAAGTTAATGTAATATTACTAATATAATGCCCGTGTAAGATGATATAAATAACTAATAAGAATTAAAAATATGAATCATATATGATTTAAATGATTTAAAAATATTTTTTTTTATATTAGAAAATAGCATTCAATCTTTTAATAAATCAAATAGTGCTTTAACAATCATCGTCATTAGTTTTCTTAATAGTTTTTATGTGTATGTGTTTAAACAATTCAATAATGTTTAAGAATGCATTTAAAGAAACTTTAAATTTGTATACAATATTTTGTATATTTGTTCCAGTTTTGTATTTAATAAATTTGCCTTCTGTAATCTTTATAATATTAATTTTCTCCAACTTAATATTATCTTGTCGAATTACTTTCAATTATTACTTTTTATGTATATTACATTTTGTATTTCGAGCAAAGTATGGATACTCGAGTAACCTCAAATTTAAAATAATAATGTTTTAGCAGTATTGATAAATAGACAAGAACTTAATATTTACAAGCTGCAAATTTTACCATTATTTCATTGTTTTATATTTGTAAATCATTTGATATAAATTTTGATTATTTATTTTATTAAAGTAGCTAAAGCATTATCGCAATAAATCTCTATGCAGTAGATCTAACCATGCTTATTGTCGCTCCGTCGATAAATTTTATACTGTTTAATATAAATATTTTTGTATAGCTAAAAAGTAATTATTAATTAAAATTAAAAAATAATAATCCTATCAACGTATTAATTAAAAATATTTTTACAAGCTTATAAACAATATATTCGCGAGTTTTTACATATATGTAAAGCATTGTATTCGGAATTGGAGCATTTTATTCGAGGCTTTCAATTCTCGGAATGTTTACATTGGATGGTGAAGCCTCTCCCATGTCGTATTCGGCCTTGAATTTCTAGCGAAAAAGATCACTCGCGTGGTCGAGTATTGAGAGGATTCCCTTATGAAGGCGTTGGATGTAAGATATTCGTGATCGCCTTAAGCAGTTAGCCAGATTTCCAGGTATGCGTGTTCCTTAATGAATGCCTTGTGGACGTCATCTGCGAATGAGTATGAATCGGAGACATTCCGAGAATCGAAGGCCTCGAATAAAATGCTCTATTTCCGAACAGAAATTTCAAAATAGTTTTATACGTTTCGAAGTCCCTAACGTAATAGTATTCCATAATACTTTATTTACAGCAGAAAGATATTTCGATCGACAAACCAATTTTAATTATTTGTAATACTAACATAATTAATATATTATTCCTAACTATTTCATTTTATAACGTACAAATTTAATAACTTTTATTTATTTCAAGATGAACACGTTTTCTATACACACACACACACACACAACATATATATATATATATATATATAATGGATTTAAAGTAGGTATACTCTTTATTTCTTTAAAAAACGCTTTCCTATAGTAATAAAATAATTGTATATTTTTAAATTTTCATCAAATTTAATGAAGGTCAATTGCAAATGTGAAAAATATAATAAAAACCTTTGTCCCAGCATTATGAATAAAAATCGATATGCAAATATAAATTACCTAAAATCACAAACGTAATAAAAATATTTTTTCAAAAAATTACTGAAACTTATTAATGGAATTAGTTTTTCTTAAATATAACACAGTGAAAATCAATTTATTTGTTTAATTATTTAGTTTTTAAAATATCTTATAGGAGCCTTGAAGCGAAAAATAAATCCATAACTTAAGACAAACAATAGTCATCTATGTATTAAGCGATTAACAGTCAAACTGATAATTGTGTATATGCAACGATAGTTAAGTTTATAATTTGTAAATAGTTATTCAGTCGTATAACAGTTATTTTTTTTTATAAAATCAAATCTTATATATCGAAATAATCGATAAAGAATTAGTAGTTTTTGGTCAATGGTAAATGAAATTGAAAAATATTTTTTTATAGTAAAATCAAAATTTTTTTTATACGCTTTCTATAAAATATAATTTGAAAAATATTTAAACAGTACCTAACTATTGGATAAAAACATTTTTAGAAATAAATTGAACAATTGAATTTATTTTATATATGAAATTGGATTTATGTAATTTTATTTTATTTATTCTAAACTTAACATAAAATACCTGATAACTCAGGTATCTTGTAATTAATAAAATCTAAATATACAGTATGTTAATTTATATAAGATATGAAATTTTAAAAATTTATAATATTATCTTTTTATTTACATCTCTAATTATATTATTATAAATATTTGTATATACATTTTTAATATAAATGCTTTGAATTTGTTTTTCAAATTTATTTATAAATTTGTTTATCTTAATAGTTTTTGTGAATGCATTATTTGGGATAAATGTAATTGGTTTGAATAATCCTTTTGATGTTCTATAATCCTTATGTACATCTTCTGGAAACCTGATAAAATATAAAACTTATTATTTGAATAATGCAATCTTTTTATTCAATATTTTATATATATTTTTAATAGAATTTGTATTGAAATTAACTTACAATTTCAAAATGTCTATTGGTAAAACAGTGTGATATCCAGATTTACACATTATAGTATTGGTAACATTTTTAATTGCAATGTGGTAATGACGCTATAAATATTTAATATTTTATTAATACATTCTAAGTAACATTACTAAAAAACTAAGTTTTATAGATTATAGTAAATTCTATTATAATATACCTGTAGAGCTATAATTTCCCATAAGCATGTACAACATGCATTACAATATTCAGGATCATTTATTTCTGATAAATATATTCCTTCTCCAATACTACAATCGGTATCTAATAATATATTTGTATTTTCATAATTACATATCATTTTCTTAATTATATAAGTAATTTCCAAAGCATCACTATGTTCCAATACTAACGTCATTAAAGAAATTCTTTTGATAAAAGCAAGTAAACGATTTTGAGTTGTGAATTTACGTTTATATAAAAGAGTATGAATTAATATTTTAATGACGGTATTAATATCGTTATGACTTTTACCAATATGAATCTGAATTAAAATATTGTAAAAGTATATAAAAAACCTGAAAATATAATCAATATTTAAATTATTAAATCTTTTATGAAAGTTAAAAATGAAATTTTTATTTATTTTCTACGTGTCATATTTTAGTAATGAAGTAATAAAACTTAGTTAAATCATTAAATTACATAAGACATTATTAATTGTGAAGGTAATTTGTATAAATATAAAAAATTTATACAATATATCTAATTCATTAATATTACTTGATATTACAATTTTAAAATGTACTAGAACCAAAAACACACAGAGATTTCGAGTAGGAATAATTTTAATTTTATTATTTTTATTATAATAATCATAATATGATGCAAATTATTCATTTAACATTAATTATATAAATTCTTACGTATATGAATTTAATTCTGTTCTTTTACTCGGTAATATTAGTTTTCGTTGCACATTGATTTTTTTAGGCGTATGTTAGTATAGGCGACATACATTTTTCTGTATGCTGACCTAATCAATATACCCTCTCTCACTCTGACTTAAGATATGGGTTAAGATAGCTTTGGACGCTATTAGCAGCAGACTTACTGCACTTTCCCTGATTTTTAAGTTCTGGACTATAATCAAACATAAAATTTCTTTTTACCCATGGTCTTTAAACAAATTTTTTCAATTCACCGATGCTCCCATTCATCCCATGAAATGTAATTAATTAATTAATTTCTTTCTGCATATTAAATTAAGTTAAATATTAATCCGAGTTGCAGGTTAGATTTGGCTTTGTCTGGGATCAGACTAAAAGCCTCCCTGTGATGGTGGGTGGAGGCTTGCTGGCAAGTGGAAAAGACAATGCAATAATTCCACACTGCCTTTGAACGTAGTGTTTTTCCCTTTATTGAATATAATATATAATAAATCGTCAATAGTCTATTGATGTAGACTTGAATGTATGATACAATGAATAAAGGATACTTTCTTCAATTAATATGAGCGACAAGAATCCTGTAAGTGTATTCTTGATAGCTTGGTGCTTGATTCTCCTACTCGTAGTTATGAACTCGCAGTGGTAGTGGGAGATTCGCGCTGATAAGGGGCAGCGATGGTGCCGCCTTTGCCGCTGCCGAAAAGAGCTGTAGCGGCCTGAGTGGGGGGCGGCGCCCGTGTGACGTCACTGATGCGGGGAAGTGATGATGCCGCGGCGAAATTTGCGCTGATAAGGGGCAGCGATGGTGCCGCCTTTGTCGCTGTCGAAAACAGGTGTAGCGGCCTGAGTGAGGGCGCCTGTGTGACGTCACTGATGCGGGGCAGTGATGATGCCGTTGCCGCTTGCGAGATGCACGCTGTAGCGATCTAGTGTAGGGGTGATATCCGTGTCACCTCACTGCTTGACGAGTGGGAGTATTCCTCGTACCGTATACCACTTATTAGTATTGCTGCTTACTTAGTTGATGGGAGCCGTGTATTAGTGATCCGTAAGAACGTGTGTAATAGCGTAGCTTACGAGTGTGGAGTCGATCTCAGTGCATTGATGGTACGTATGAACGTGTGTAATAGCGTGGCTTACGTGTGTTGGTAGGCCGTGAGCTTGGCTTCCGTTGAGCTGGAGTCGATCTGTGCAGCGTTGGATGGCCGAATGAGCGTGGCTTCCGTTGAGTTGGAGTCGATTTGTAGAATGGCGATCCGATCTTGATGAGTGCTTGGTTGAACTAGTAAGAGAGAGAGACCGTCAAGCGCGTCCCCTTAAATATCCTAGTACAGGCTTGCAATTTCGGTGAATTCTTGTCATGATGTTTGTTAGAGTGACCTCACTAGAATCTAGCCTTGGAGAGTTCGTCGGCCCTTGTTATTCGGAATTGTAATGTAATTTCGACTATTTGAGTAGTGAAGTTTCCCGATTTCGTAGAATCGTGTTTATGCCTCGGCCCGCAATGTTTTGACCTAAGCAGGTGTCTTTACCTTTCCCACTTTGTTTACCGCGTAAAATTGCTGCAATCCGTAACAGGCTTGATATAATATATTGTAAATTAGGGTAAATATAATGGCATTTTTATATATTGATACATTACATATATCCACTAATTACAAATTCATCATTCATTTATTATATTAGATTATATTTTAATATATCAATTAATCTTTTCCTGCACAAGAAATTCCTAATTGTTTATTTTACTTGTCTTCTATATAGTCTTCTGATATAGGCCTAATTAGAAACAATAGACAAGTAAATATATTTTTATATATGTATATATATTGATAGAAAATAGCTATTTATAGTAAAAAAGAATATATTGTCGATATATCTTAAAAAAAATTTTTAATATCTAATAATATTATGCAAATAATTACTTTTATGTAAATCATATTATGTTATTTTGTCTAAATTTACATTTCTTTATTTGTACAAAATTGAATTTTTTGCTAAAGTGATTATAAAGTAATATTTTATTAGGTGACAGTAAGTGAATAAGCGTTAAACAGAAATAATCTAATATGCAGGTTGTAAATCATTGGCCTTTTGAAAAAAGTATGGAATGGCCTTAAATTCAAACCAAAAACTGATCTCAACAGTAATCATTAAATGTGAATTACTTCGATCTTGTACCAACTCTCTTTAACTATCTTTTAAAATATTTATTACGTGATTTTGATAGATATGAAAAGTTCGGAACTTGTAGTGCAATGAACGCACATTCTTGTTTCAAGGTATTTCTATTGTTATCGCATCACTAGCGATAAATAATTTGTAATACAAAATAATTAAAGGTCGTTAGAAAGTTGTTAAGTATATTAACAATAGCCGATCGAAAATGAATCTGCATCACTATACAGACACTATAAAACTATTTACGCTGTTATATTAATTCCACATAATAAATGCTTTAATCATAAAAGGATTTTATATATGTATATATATATAAATATATATATATATATATATTATGGGATCCACTTATCGAAAACAGGTTTTATATAAATATTATAATGATTAGATTTTGTTCTTTGACTATTTAAAACCATTCAGCAAGGAAAGGATTTAATCATGAATAATGACCTCATCAATAATATACGAGTTAAATATTCCAATCACAAGAACTTCTGGAGTGGATCTACAGACAAGTATGCATTTAAAAGTATTGATTTAGTTTATTATGCCATAGAAAAATAAAATGTGATGAATCATATGAATCAAGATATATTTTAATCACTATCATGAGAGTAAATGAAGCACGTTTAAAACCAATTTAACTCATCTACTTGCAGTACTCACAAATAAAATAACGTACTAGTAATAGAAAGAAAAAGACGAGCAGTTTTATGTAGATTTATAAAAAACTGAATAAAAAAATTAAGATAGAAGGAATACAGAAACTATTCTATAAAATTTAATGGAAATATTTATATTAATGAAAATAAAATTATTTTAATGCTAAAAACTATTTTTAAAAAACTTAAAATATTTTAAAATAACTATCTTAAAATAATAAAAAATTAACGAGATAAATTTTTTAAAATGGATGATTCGATTTATCAGTGTACTTAAAAACTATCAAAATTATTTAAATAAATTTGATTTTATTTATACTGATACTTATTTAAAGGAATGGATAGTCTAAAATAAAAATAAATTATACGTTTGTGTATGAATTACATTATTAAAAGTCTGAATTTATTTTGAAAATAAAGAGAATAAAAATCACATTTATTAAGAAAATTTAAATATATCATATTCAAAAAATGATCAAAATCATTTAATAGTAAAAAGTTTACAGAAACGTGGATTCGAGAAATTTCGAGTAAATTCTCATTACATTAAAATAGGGAGATTAATTTATTCTAAATCAAATTTACGTTAAGTTATGTACCTATTAAAAAAAAATTATAATACAAACCAATAGAAAATATTTAAGCCTATATATAAAATTCAAATAATTAAATAGAAATATTAATAATTTTTAATAAAGTTATAAGTATTTAAAAGTTATATAACCTTTAATTTACAATTCTTTATACCAAGATCATACATTAAAATAGAATCTAAATATTATATTTGGATGCCATATATATATATTGCATACAATAACATTTATCATGAATTACTATAGTATATTACAGTAAATATTTAAACATAATCTTGAATAATTATTTAACTAATACTAAAATAATCTTAATCATTATATTAAATTTACCTGTTAAGATCAGCATTTATTAATGATAATTTATGGGAAGAAATAATAAAAGTTGCATGTAAACAAGCAAGTTTCTCTCTTAAAGATATATTGTTTTTTAGTAATAAAATGTCCAAGGCGTTGACTACATCATGTTGAAAAAATATGTTGGTATAAGGTAAAAATCTAAAAAAAATATGTTACTATAAACATTCCATTATTACAATGATATAAATTATAATATCTTACATTAATATCCCTTTTAGACAGAACGATAATATTCGATTATTTCCAAATTGTCTCAATGTATGAAAATATATCTTAAAGATTAACTCTGTAATTTCTATAAAAAAATTTATTTTAATTTGTTTGTTACACACTATATTTGTTTCTAATATTTCTTTTTCAATCTGTTTTAATTTTTGTTTCCATTTTTTTTCCTTTTCATTTAAACTTCTAGGTAAAGATAACTTTCCCAACTTACACAAATCTTCATTTTGATTAACTTTGACATACTTTATCTGAATACGTAACAAAATTGATATCACTTCTACATATACTAAATTTGTTTGTTTTTTTAAATATTCATACAGATGACGTATAATCTAAAATCACAAATTTATTAATTGTAAAAATACTGCTTATTATTTTTATATATATGTATAAATATAAACATAATCTATACTAAGGTCATTTGAAAAATTGACTTTTAAAATAAAAAATTTTTTTAGTAGCTATCATTTTTATTGTTTTATATGTAATAACTTGGTTATTTCACTCTAATATATATAATTCCAGATAATTTTTGTGATTATGTTTATTACTTTAATTTAAACAATCAAATTTAACTAACTATAATATTTAAAAAGAAATGTCTGTAAAATTTCAAAATTATACCTTAAATACTTAGTATAATTTATCTTCATTTTTGGAATAATTTTTTATTTTCAATAATGCAAAAATTTATTTAAATAGATTCAATTATATGTATAATATATTATTAAATGACATTGTAAAAATTCGGTTTATAACGTCATTTCTGCATTATCATCAATTAATCAAACAGTCCTGTTTAACAATTAATTCTTTTTTATAATTTTCAATATAATGCATTAATTACAGTTAAAGATAATTCCCCTTGGTTATCTTCTTTGAATATTCGTTCTAAAGATATGGATACAAGACATCTAATGTTCTGATGTTTAGAATTTAAGAATGGAATTAAAAACTTGGCTATATTTGATGAAAAGTTAAAATGTTGTCGATTAACTAGTAAATGAGCCATACAATTAATGGCAAGAAATGCTAAATAGATATCTTCCTCTTTTAAAAATAATGTATGTTTTTCATTTTTTATTACAACTGCCATTTTTTCAAGCTTTTGAAGATATCTTTTGTAACATGTTAAAATAGTTATTTCTTGAGTTTGTTGACGCAGAGTTTCTTTTTTTACTGTAAAATATAGAATTAAATTACTAATACGCATAAAATGTAATAGTATAATATACAATTTGATTACCTTTTATTTTATTCGTATTTAAAAATCTAAGATTATATAATGGTAATACATCTTTGAATATTTCTAAAAGTGATACAGTTGCTAATTTGCGTATTGTAAAATAAGATTCTGGAGTTTTTTCATCCATGAAATTTAATAACATCAATAAATTTCTTGATTTTTTTTCAGGAGATTCTAAAATTTCACTAGATAAAATACCGATTTCATATCGCAATAATTTAAGTCTTTGTTCGCGACATGTTAATAATTCCAATGTTGTTAAGTACTTAGTAGGATTGAGATGAATAATTTTCTACAAAAATATTAAATAAAAATAGATATTAAATTATTACTGGTATATTTGGTGTTAGAAAATCATTAATAATATAAATTATTTCTTTAGGTAGTAAATACTGACGTGTGTATACCTATTTGTATTTTAGTAATTATTATAAATATAATGATATTTATTGAATTAAAAGAATACACGTCAATATTCGTTATTCCATATTAATCGGTACGATTAGTATTTCTTCAATTAGACACAGATTCACACATGTATATATGAATATATACACAAACATATGCCTTCCCATTTCATGTATAACCATTAATTCAAATATAAATATCAAATAGCTGTTAATACATTATATAAAAAAAATTTGGCAGATAAGTTTAGAATGATTTTAAAAATTCATAAAAAAATAACTTCAATAAGACGTAGTTTTATTGAACAAAACAAATATTTTAATTGAAAAAATGAGTTCATATGATCATAAATTTATATGATGAAATAGAAAAAATAGAGAAAATAATTGGTTTATATTATAGAAAGTTTGCTTTAAAAAGTTATAAATAGTTAATGGCTAGCTAGAAATAGAAATAACTTTTTTTGAGCCTGTGTTAGTCTATTTTTAAATAGTTTTTTTTTATACATTACCTTTAATTTTAAACAGTTATTTGTTTTTCTTTTATGTATTGATATATTATAATTTGTTTGATTATCAATATTTTTGAACTGTTGCATTTTTATCAAGCTGTCTTTTACTTTGACTGGCAATAAAAACTTAATTTTTTTTTTATTTAATTGCTCAGTCGTTTCAAAAAGAGTTTCTTCATATTTTATTTCTAATTCATCAGAATGATAATTATTACTGAAACATTAAATCAATAAATTTAATAATTTTTTTTAAACGTATTAAATATCATATATATTGAATAGGAATAGTTCAACATATCAAAATATTATAAAGGGCCGATAATAAAATATTTATTAAAATGAACAATTATTTTGTTTTATTATTTTTCACACTATAATAAAAATAGATTTTTGTAAATAATACAATTAAACGTTATTTCATAAATACTTTATTTAGTATAAAAAATAATAAATATTACGAAAAATTATATTTAATATAAAACTGAATAAATAAAAAATCGATATATACTCCATATAATATATAATTATACCTGAATATTCTAAAAAGTAATAATTAGTGTCATAAAAGTTTTCATTAGTTAAATAAAACAATTAAATTAATATTGTTAAGTTTTTAATATTGCTGATTACATTTTAATTAAATTGTATAAATAATGAGAAATAACGAATTTAAATATTTCAATATTTCAATAAAATAGATAACTTTTAAATATTTTTAAAAATTTCGTCCTATAGTTAAATATATTATACATGTCGATCATACAATATTTAGGCTGTATTTGCAGTAATAATATTTCACAATATTTCTTACAAAAAATTTAGGTTTTGGTTGAGTCAAACAGAATAATCACTTGTAACTTCGTGGCTTTAGTACTTTCTACACAATGCTTATAAATATAATTATTAAATATAAAATGTAATACGTCTACATTAATAATATCTGAAATATCGATTATCTTTCAATTTGAGTATTATTTGAAAGTATGAATTCCATGAATTGTTATATTAATGATAAATTATTGTACTAATTGAATATATAATCGAATATAGAATAGACTAATCAAATATATAATTAGACTGTATAGATTTCAAATTCCCATAGTTTATCATTTGTTGCATACCAAAAATATAGAAAAAAATTCTTTTCTGCTTAATCATTTTAAATGTATTAGAATATTTTTTTAATAAAGTTATTTTTATATATTTTGTATTAAACACGTATAAAGGTTTTAGTATATTTAACATTAATAATTTAAAACTAATTAGAATATATGTTTATAATTAAGTTTCAAATAAAATATGAATAAAATTATTAAATGTATTAACAATTACACTTTATATATTATAAAATATTTTTTAACGTTGATCGAAAAATGAAACATTAAGACCAGGAATGTTTTAAACGTATCAGTACTACATACAATAGATACCCCATTAATATTCTAGAGATTGTTGCTATTATGAAAGTTGATGTATTTGACTTCAGAGTTTATATTGATTAGCGTTTTCAACAAATATTGTAGTAATAATCAGATAAATTTGTATTATTTTTATACTATCAGTTTTACGTAATTTAGGGGATATAAATAATGAATTACCTTTTTTTTTATTTATACTTTGTAATGGATATCATTAATTTAACTTCTACGTTGAACTGTATAATAACATATTTTTCATAATTTCTTTAATCTAATTTTATTAGTATACGATATACTTACATTATAATATTTAATATTGGACAAGACGAATTTTATATTTAATTAAAAATTTTAAATACATTGAAATCTTTAAAACAAAATTAAGGATTTTTTTAATTTTATAGCTTAATTATTTGATTATCATTAGCTATGGTAAACTTCAAAATATGCCGATTTCTTGTGATAGTCAATAAGATGATCTACCAGTTAAAAAATAAAAAATTCTATTAAATTATTTGCAATACTATGCCTTACATTCTTTACTCACTAGATAAAATACTACTTCATTTAAATTTATATAATTCAGCTTTGTACTAATAAACTGTTTAAAAACAAATTAATTCTTTTGTGGTAATTAAAAATAGCCACACTCAATTCTCAACTCTCTCAAATGAAACGTCACCTTATATTATGTGAAATTTAGAAAATTCAGAAAATTCAATTATACTATTATACATACTTTTAAATCTTAATTTTTTAATCATTAATCTTGATTTTTGTTTTTGGTACCTTTTAAAATTCCTATTGCTCTTGAAAGAATCTTTGTTTATTTAGTGAAAATTTTATTACTAAAAATAAAATAAATGTCTATGTTTAGCACTAGAAAAACGTAGTTGTTCTATTCGATAATTAAAATGTAATCGTATGATAATTGTTCGAAATTGAGTGTTTGTTTTGTGACTCGAACTGCCAATTCAATAGTTCAGTAGATGAGTCTCTCGCCGTAGCCATTAGGAGGAAAACGCACAACTGGAAGGGCTGAAAATATTATGCAATATATATTTTGAATGAAGATATTGTTTTCTTCTGGTTTACCAATTATAATAATATTGCAGTTTTGTTGATTACTTCAAGTAAGAGAGAGATAGAGAAAAGTATTCTATTGCAGTGGTGAGATTGCTTCCTTGTGTCCTTGATTGTCGTTGATGGTATGGAATTTACTGTGGATGTTGAGTATCGAATTTATGCTAATGTTGTAAAGATCAGTATGAGAAATCTACCATGCTCATTAACGAGCATGAGAAGATGGTGATGGTGATGGTAATGGTAATGGTAATAAATAAGGCTTCGTAGGGAGAGTAAGCATACTTAAAAGCAAAGAATACGGTATTCTCTGCGGTAGTTGTTACGTAAATCGACGATACTCCAAAGAAGTATGGGAGTATTAGAGAGCTAGTCACACGCAATAACGATAAATGATAAGCCTTCAAGTACGAAAGCACTTAATAATAGGTAGTTATAGTCGACTATTTGATAACTGTTATCTGCCATTGATAGCGTAATTAAACGGATTGGAGAGGTGAACGAACGGTCTTCGGCCTGGTGGGCCTGAGAGCGCATGTTGCTGTCACCTGTGTCGACTGTAGCTCGATGAACGAACGGCCTTCGGCTTGGTAGGCCTAAGAGCGCGTGTTGCTGTCAACCTACTTGGCAGATTTTATGTGAACCGTGATTCGAGCGTGGATGACTAGCTTGTATAAAATAATAAAAAAGATGTACCTTATGAACTACCATCAGGGTATGCTAAATTGCTGCGTGACTGGCGCACTTTATTGATTGCAATTCCAATGGTGTCACTGTTAAATTACTAACTTGTTATTGCAGATTCTATTAATAATTGCACGCATATGTTGTAGGTCAATTGTTAGGCTTGCTGCTAAATTTCGTAATCGTAATTGATAACTGATACTTGATTGATTAAGAAAATACGCTAATTAATAATAACAGATGAGTGAGCGAGTAGTAGAATTACAGTGAGTCATAATTGATAACTGAGTAGATAGTAAAAACACCGTGAGTCAGGTGCGTGGCGACTGAGTGGATGTTAAAAGTACAGTGCTACGGTGCGTAGCTCCCTGCTCTTAAATATTCGCGTGGTAGCTTGCGACGCCAGTAACAGCGCCGATGCCTGTTGCGATGCCGAAAATCGTCGTGACATCAGAGAACAAAGCTCTGGAATGTTCTAGAAGCGTCAAGGGACACAGCTTGGAAGGTTCTAGAAGTTTCATTGGCGTTGCTATGTGGAAATATTGTAGTATATTCGAATTTAAGGCGTAGGAAAATTCCCGAATTAGCTGAATCGTGTTTACAAACATGAGCGTCCCGGAGCTTGTACTTTTCCCAATTTTAAATTCTGCTTAGACTGCTTCAATGCCCAAGCAATAATTTAAAATAATTTAAACATTACAGAAGATTATAAAAAATTAATTAGAAAATGAAGAAACAGGATTATTAGAATATTTTGTTCAAAGTATATTCAAATTTCTGGAATAAAAGATCCATAAAATTTTTCCCTAAAGTGTTATACATCTAAATAGAAAACGAGTAATTTAAAATTATTATTGTTTTTTGACTATCTGTTTAATTACAATTTAAGCAGTATATATTACAAATAATAAAAGTACAAATTTAACTAGTTTTATTAATATTAATTATTGAAGTTGTGATTTTTCTTTACGTTTGACATATTACTAAATTCAACTATATGTTATCAAAACGTTATACTGATTAACATTGTCGGAATATAAGTACTAACTAATATCACTTACTACAAAATAGCAAAGTACATGAAATATTTCCAGGTATAAATATAATATCAAAATTCATATTTGATAGCTATATATTGTTCCCAACATACATTTAGTAATAACCTAAAATAAATTAAATAACCTTGCTCTTTTAAATAAAAGTAAAATTTATAATTGTAAACTTTAATTTCATTCGTTATATTAGCAATACAGAACCACAACGTTTATTATTATTTCATTGTTTTAATATAAAAATCTTAATTTTAGTTTTTCAAACATCAGCATATCTCAAATTATTGTTGAGATTCTGAACTTACTCTATTTTCTTTACAATGTGTAATTTATGTAATAATAAGTGCAGAATTAAGCTATTTTTGACACTTTTCCATATCAATACAAATTCTAAATGTTCAATTTGTACAATCAGTATTTAATTCTTTTATTACATTTAGAAGAATCAGTAATATAAACAAAAATAAAATCTTGTAATACATTAATATTTTAAATAAAACCGATATTAGTTATTATTAATAAATTGAAAAAGGTTGAATCTGACATATATTAATTTTTTAAAATAAGAGTGTATTTAATTTTTATCATAAAATTGTTCATACCTTTGTAAATTCATTTTTCTTAAACAATTTAGTAGTTTTCTCTTTATTTATTTTTTGTTTATATCTTATAGTATTAAATTGATTTTATTCTAATTTCTTGAAGATTTTATTCAATTAGTTGATGCATATGTCGTATCTGAAACAAGGGATACAAATTTACAATTAAATTTTATGTTAATTTTTTATTAATAGTTTCAAGAGTGTGTAAATAAATTATACATAATACAAAACCATTATTATTATATAGAAATTTAAGTTTTAAATGCATACTTTTTTATAGTTATAAAATAAAGTTTTGTTTATTTATTATGTATGTTTGTATTCAGAATTTAATTGAATTTTTACAATAATGTAACGTATCATCTCATTTGAAAAGTATTTTCAATGATTCAAATTTATGTCTTCCATCTTACTATTTATTTGTTTTCAACTTTTCTCCTTTTAATTAGTTTAATTTTATTTACTTTTAAAACTGTAAAATATTTTGTTCCATTCATTTTTTTTGATTTTCTTTTATATTTAATTTTTCTTTATTTATGTATTTTGATAAGGTCCTTTCTTGATATTTGACTGATATACCTATATCTTTTATTATTTCATAACTTTTTTTACCTTTCTCATTATTTTCTTGAATTTTAATATTAATTATCTTTCTATTGCTTATTTTGATAACATTTGATTATAACCTATGTTATTTCTTTTAAAACTTAAGCATTTTTATTATTTTTTTATTTTATATATTTAAATTTTATAAGTTTTATTTTCCATAAGATGATTGTACATGTCTAATTTTTTAACATAATTTTGAAAGTTCCCTTTACTTGACAGGTGATTTTTATTTCTGTAATTCTATACAATTTTGTTCTACTATTTTCAGAATTTATATTTAATTTACTTTCAAATATTTGATTCAAGATTTTTGTCTACAAATATAATTATTTGCATTCATTATATTCCAATTCAAATATTTTCTTGAAATATATTCACATTCTTTGAAATTTTTAGTTAATTTTTATACCAATATTTTATTTAAAATTCTCATTATATTTCATACCATATTAATTAATATAATTAATAGTTGTTCATCTCTTTTTACATTTATAGATTAGGATTATATTTACAATAGGATTCTATTTACAATGTCTTGATATATCATATAAGTTTATAATCGATACTAAATAAGTACTTGAATAATTTAATGAAATTTTATATTTTTATAGATACTTCTATAATTTATTTATTTATTATTGTCTTATTTGATGCAATTTTGTAATAATCTGCTGCTTAAATTATATAAGTTAAAAGACTTGTATTATACTCATATAAGATTACATTACAATTTTATTATTTATTAACTTGAATTTTTTAAAAAATTTTTCTGCAAATTTAATATTTTCTTGATATTATTAATGTTAACTCACTAATGCGAAAAGTATTAAATTTCATTATTTCAATCTCAATTATCAGGATCGATAATTTTTTCTGTTCTAACATTGAATTGATAAATATTATGTTTGAATCTTAATTTACAATTGATATGTATTTAATAATTATATTATTATAATCATTATAAATAAAAATTATTCTGCAAATTTTCAATTTTTCTGAAGCTTCCTTCTTGTAAAAATATTTGTTTTATTTCATTTCAATAGCCTAATAATTGTAGATATTTCACTATTATATTACATAATTAGACATGATATAATGATTGCAGTCTATATTGAACATATTTTACAAATGTTTATTATTACCTTTTTTATATTTGTTATATATTTATATGTTGTTGTGTAATATAATTTTAATATAAATATAATACTAATATAATATACGTTTAAACTTAATATTTAACATAACTGAATAATCACTCATATATATTTTTCCTTCTGCTATAGAAACAATGTTAATGAACTAAATTACATATTTATCTATACGATTATATTATATTATAATATTAGATTTATTTATCACAAATAACAGTTTATGTTCTTTGTTGATATTACGATATCTATTGATTAAGTTAGATCCAGAAGGTGTTCTAAATTTACTGATTTATTTACAAATATAGTCCCATAAAATAAATAAAATTTAAATTAATAATACACTTAATAATATATATTTTCTACATATATGGAAAGTCATGATAACTTATTTATTAAATATTGATACCAATCTTTTTATTTTTAATCAATTTATACACTCTATATGTATTTTAAATGTATTTTACATTCACATGTATTTTAAATTGAATTATATATTAATTATAGACAGACAATAAATGTCAAAGAAAAAAATTATATAAATATTTAAATTTCAGAAAATTAGCATTTAATAAAATTTGATAATTTCCTTCTATTAAATGAGAAGTATAAATTATATTATACTTATATCAAATTTTCCAAAAAATTCAACGCCAAAAAATCAGAAAACTAAAGAACAAGATGCAAAAAATGATCGGAATATTTTTTAAATTTCATTAAAATGTAATATTTTTTCAGTATATTATGTTCTGTATATTTTAAATAACATTTGTATTAAATAAAAAATTCAATATATAAGCAGTAATTATAAATGAACATTAAAATAATTACCAATAGTTTTTTATGTTGAAATAATTTTAAAAATGATTTCAAATCAAGAAATAACACCAACTTTATTACCAAAACCTACCTTTATTATAGCTAACTTGAAGTTGCTATTAAAATTTAAAAAATAAATAATGTAATTTCTATTCCATGAATTAATTTATTAATGTCTTACAATAAAATTTGTAATAGATTTAATATTTTCATATATCACATACTATTATTAAGAGATTGATTATGAGAATGCTTTCTAGAAATTAATATTGTGATTATTGGTAATAAATATAAAGTATAATAATTTAGAACACAAACTATAAATCAAATATCATTATCTGCTCTTAATAATACAAACAAAATTTTTTATATTTATTTTACGAAAATATCAAAGAAATATTAGATAAAATATAGAGAAATTAATTATTTGATATATATCCTTATATATTTCTGTTTGGTTTAAAAGTTATTTATCATATTAATATAAATATAAATTAATATCATGTTAATCATAAATATGCATGTTAATCTTTCAAAAATGAAAATAATTTAATAAAAATTACAGTACAGATAATACAAAAAAAATCTTTCACCCAATCAGAATATGCCTATTGTTTATATTT